CTGGCCTTGGGGCAGCAGGTAGAGTAAATCCGGCCCTGTATGGACACCCTTCAAATGAAGGACTTTTGGGTGGCCAGGCTGGACCACTGACCGCAGCTGCTGGCCTGCCCTGTGCCCAGTGAGCCCTGCCCCCCTCCCTTTTTTATAGGCTTACCACCAATTTACTGTTTAACCTAATTTGTGCCTGTGAACTAGGGCTGTCTGTCCTAGCAAAGGCTAAAGATCTTGTTACATGTTAATGAGAGGAAAGGGTTTCTATTTTTCTGTTGAGACATAATGTTCTGTCTCTTGGATATTGTACAGATGAGCTTTAAAAGCCTGCTATACAAACATATCTAAATGGTTAGAATTTGTTTTCTTTTAGATATGCTGTGTGAATGGGAACACATAACGAGCATTTGGAAGTGTTTTCTCAAATCTGACTGCAAAAGCGATACAAAGACTTCTTTGAATGTTTTCCCTAACCCAGCCTAGAGGAGGGGCAATTATGGAGGGTAGAATTACAGGGTGATTTTGGGTCTACATAGAGACAGTAGGGGTAGAGTTGTCACATTTTCTTCAAGCCAAACCCGAACACTCTAGCGCCTCGCAGCAATTGTTTTGTAGAGTATACACTATGCATATATTTTGTGAAGATCCTTTGTTTCATTCCTTGCATGAGCGTCTAATAGCTAAATGTCTTATATTGCTTTGAGTGATATGCCCTATTGCACATAATAAATGCCCACAAAAGATGCCAGAGGTTACCTGTGGCACAAATCATAATATTAAGAAAGTGACCTTAAAGCATTAGTTTGTGACCTGTCCCTTTAAGAAAAAGTATCGGTAATTGGTATCTGCGAGTACTTGATCAAAAGTATCGGTACTCGTACTCGGTCTTAAAAAAGTGGTATCGGTGCATCCCTAATATATATTATACCTGTTAGTCGGAGAGTGGGGCGGCGCCGGCGGATTAGTCCCAGTCCCATATAGTGCGTGGTTTAGCCGTAGGATGATTATCTTCCTCTTTCCCTCTGATGTCACTTCCTCCCAGCGCTTAGCACTGCCACGGAGAAGAGGAAGAGGGAGGGACTATTAGGCACAGATCAGCGAGAGCCGGCAACTGACAGCGCCGGCGTCCAATGTTTGCAGTATGCGGCTTACTTAGGGAGCCACAGTCCGGTTTGAATAATGTGTCCGGGCGTCAGGTTGGCTGAAACCCGGGCACAGGATTCCAAACCCGGACTGTCCGGGTGAATCCCGAACGGGTGGCAACCCTTAGTAGTGGGCCGTAAGCACGTTGGTATTGAATGACAGAATTCCCTCCTCCATTTACAGAACTTGATGCATTGTGGCATAATAGTAAGAGTAAGGCCCCGTTCCCACTGCACGATATGCAAATCGTGCGTTTGTCGCGCGATTTGCATATTGCGCGACATCGCGAGATTTGCCGCGTGATATCGCATTCAATCTTGCATTGAGCAAGCTTGAATCGCGGCTAAATCCGCTCCAAAAAGGGTCCTGCTGTAGCGACACACGACCCGTGACAGCAGGACCCTTTGCCCCATTGAAATGCATTGGAGTGCGATATCGTGCGGTAATTTGCAGCGACATCGCGGGAATTACCGCGCGATAAATCGCTCAATGTGAACTGGGCTTAAGATAGGTTCTGTGAATGGCAGTGAAAGCAGAGGGGGGTGCGGGCCAGCTGTGAAACATTTCACAATAGTTGCTGACTCCTCTCATAGCGCTTCTGAGTTTAATATTCGCAAATATATTATTTTGTTTATATTATTCTTTGCAAACAACTGTTCAAACATCATAGTCTGAATAGATTTATCTGTGTAGACTAGTGATGTGAAACTCTCCTCAGCAGTTGACAGTGCTCACCCAAGAAACTAACGGCATTGTGATAACTGGTGATGGTATTTAGCACAGCTTTGTTAGAAGTCACTGTTCAAGAGTACCTGTCATGTCTCTGTTGGAGTGTGTTGTGGTGAGCTGCACTTCAAGTGCTATTGTTTCCTGTGTAGAAGTGCATTGCATTCATTTTGAATGAACTGCCTAACTCAACTTTCTGCAATATGATGATAGTCTTGAGAACTTGATGTGAGTCCCACATCTGGCACCTTCCCTTTAAGAGAAACCGGTACTGAGACAAATATGGGAGCTGCCATTGCTGGCCTTTTTCTAATAATACTAGTCTGTCTGTGTTTTTTAATTTTAAGGACAAGCTAGGACAGGGTCAACTCATACATGGGAGTGAATCAGTTGACTAATGTTATGGGTCTCTGGAAGCAAGAACGGGACCAATGGTGTCAACTATTAACTTGGGTAATACTAATGTACATCTGTAAAAAGAATCACCACTGGGCAGCTGGAACCTGCATTTATTTTCACTTTGGCTTAAAGTGTACTGAGCACTAGAGGGCACTACTACAGAACATTACAATGTATGTAAGATGAAACTACTTACTGCAAAGCAACAAAGTATTAAAATAGACTTACAACTATATAAAGCAAATCCAGTAGTGACCCTGTACCTCACTTGACAATTTGAATCAAGAACTGACATACAAGAGGAAACTTCAGAATTTCTGTGGCTACTCACATGTGCCCTTTGCGGGCTATGTAGTAAGGAGAATTTGCTTAGCTGTCATAGTAATGTAGATTTATTTTCTGCTCACCCTTCCCAGATCTGAAATGAATGCAAGTGCACATTAACTGGTGTTCTTTGGATACTGGCATGCCTGGCTATGACTCTGGTATGGATTTTGAGGGGAACTAATTTTTTGAGGGGTTGTGTGGAGTCCCCCTTTAAAAAAATCATACTAGGCCTCTATCTAGGATAAGGGTCTGGTATAGATTTAGGAGGGTAGCCCATGCGGGTTTTTTTTTTTGCCTGGGATCCCCCTCAAGGATAAGGGTCGGGGGGGACGGGGGTCCTACTTTTTTTTCTTTCTGAAATATCACTTTTGCTTGTGTACAGGCTTGGACGCAGACAGGATACGGCTGTGCGCGGAGCTGTATGTGCCGGCCTTTTCTCATCTGAATGAGGCCTTTAACACAGCCCTGAACACACAGAGGGGAATTTATTAAAACTGGAGTGGTTGCCCATAGTAACCAATCAGCGTCTATCTTTCATTTTAAAAGCTTAACTGAACAAACTGAAACTACAAGCATATTGGTTACTAACGGCAACTGCTCCAGTTTTAATAAATCCCACCTCATACTATCTGTGTTGGGGGTTGTGCATGTGTTGTTGCAAGTCCTAAGCATACCTGCATACAGTCATTGACCTCTGTAGTAGGCTGTACACAGCACCCGTGGCTCCCTGGTGGAGGGAAATATACTAGAATTTACATTGTACAGCCACAGGCAGCTTTGTGCATGAGCCCATAGAATATTTTGTCACCTCTTACTTTTATAGTAAACTCCTCCATGGGGATTGGTAGATTCCGGATAAATGTAGTTTCTGGTTGCTTGAGAGTTATTATTAAAAAATAGGTTTAACTAATGCCATACCCCATACTATACCATACCATAACCTCTGTATTGACTTCATATTGATATTGAAATGCAGGAATCAAAAGCACATAAAGACAAATAAACAGCCCCGATGCTGGCGACGTACACAGTACGTCGTCAGTCACGAACGGGTTAAGACAAATCGATACAAAATTATTTTCAGGTTAATACATGCCGCAGGTCAGCAAAACAGTGAGTACACAGGGGATTTTTTTTCTGGTTAGATGAGAGTTCTGGTTAGTTGAATACGGATAACTGAGAGTTTACTGTACAGTGGTACAATTCGTTTCACGAACAGGAGTTTGGCAAAGTTCTGCTTCCGTTCACGAACTCTGCATCGGGTGACAAACACAACCGCAGCCATCTTCCCCGCTCTGACACGTGGTCGTGACTTCCTCGAGTCAAGATCGTGGTCTGATCACAGTTTGATTCGGTTCACGACCAGAATTGTGGAATGAATTATGTTCGTGAACCGAGGTACCACTGTATTTATAAAGCACTGCCAGTTTACACAGAGCTTTACATATTACACATTCTCATCAGTCCCTACCCTCAAGGAGCTTACAATCTAATCAGGGCCGGTGCTAGGATTTGTGCCTATACAGGCAAGGTGCATTTTTGCGCCCCCCTCCCCGACCCTGACCCCCTGTAAAAACAGGGCATTTTGACAAGTACTTGTACTTGTCAAAATGCCCCGATGTTTGCGCTATGTTTTTTTTTTCCACTTACCTTCGGTGCGGTAGAGCAGCGGCGAGTCAGCGCTGGTCCGGTGGGAGGAGCTCCAGGTGGGGTCCTAATTTAGCTGGCCGGCGACTGCCTGAGGTGCCGCGCGTGTCGGGATCCTCAGGCAGTCGCCGGCCAGCTAAATTAGGACCCCACCTGGAGCTCCTCCCACTGGACCAGCGCAGACTTGCCGCTGCTCTCCTGCGGCCGCCTGACTTGCCTTGCGGTAGCGCCGGGCCTGAATCTAATATCCCTATTTCACATGCATACATAGAGGGCCAATTTACCTCCAAGCATGTCTATGGAGTGTGGGGACCAGAGTAACAGAAGGAAAACCAGGAGAGAACATGCAAACTCCTTGCAGGTAGTGTCCTGAGTGGTATTTGAACCAGGAACCCAGTGATTTAAGGCAGAAGTTCTACCCACTAAGACACTCTGCTGCTCATCATAAAATGACATCTCTTTCATACGTGACAACAGAGCAATTTCTAGAGCCACATATAAAGGTAATGAGAATAAAATAAAAATGTAGCCATCTAATACTCAGTGCAAGCTCTTTATTCCCCGGGGGGTTCCTCCTGCATAGTATAAGAAATACATTGTAGATTCTGATCATTGCAGACACAACACCTGCGAACTACAACACACAGTCACTGGAAGCCTTTGTCCGGGTCTGCGGCTGAGCCAGGCTGACAAGTGTCATCTATGGGGCTGGCTGCAATGAATACAGGAGTGTGGCACTGGAGATTAGCACACACACACCCTCTGGAGTAGGAAGTGATCGCACACTGGGAATTTCTCTTGCCAGCAAAGCTAGTGCCTCTGTGCACCAGCTGTGATCCTTCACACCCAGCCAGGGTCTAGTGGCAGCCCTGAGCAAACTGATGCCAACTTTCTGTAAACAGCCAATCAGTCCGTCCCTTTGCCCCTCTCTGATTAAGGGGAAGTGGACATTAGGGGCCCAATGGCTTCCCTACTTGACAACCTAACATCGGGGGAACCCCATGACAATAGTACGGAAATATCCAGCCTCTGGGATGGCTCAAACAAGGTAAGTGACAAGCGCCTGGCTTTAATTTTCACTTTCTTGGTGTTGTAGCTGTTTATAAAACTTTTTGTGAATCTTTGTAACTTTTTGTATCATTGCTCCTAAAGCTGATGCCATATTGGCGAGTCGGATGCTGGGGAATAATCGCCAGAATCAGGGTGGCTGCTAGTCCCTATGGAATTGCTCTTTCGCTAGCAGAGCCAACAAGGCGTTGCTAGCGATCAAGATTCGGCAACGTTCAGGGCCAGCGAGGGAGCAATTCCATAGAGGTAAGTGGAAGGCTCTCGTGTGACTCTGGCACTGGAAATGCGTCAGTTGCCCATGTGATATCAGCCTCATTGTATTATTGCCTTCGTTTTTATTAAATGTCTGCGCAAAAGTAATAATAACCATGTATAACTAGTCACAAACCAGCTGGGGAGGGCTGCACGGCTAAAACATAGGTTCACTGCTACATGCACACCTCCTGCAGTTGCAGTGCATTTTAGATGTGTTTTATGTGCGTTTATTATTTATCCGTACGGCGGTTGCGATTTTGAAAATGAGCAGAAAGTAGAATTTATTTTAGGCTAACCCAACACATCTGTGATAATGTGAATTATAACTCATGGTCATGTGTTGGCGTTCATTCCGAATGCCACCCGAGTGCACATATATAGTAAAAGCAAACGCCTGTGCTATAGCGCACCACAACCCATTGACCCTCAGTCAGCGCTTGCCTCCTCCCCCTCCACTCTGGCTGTGGAATGGGCCTCGGCATCCTCATGTCTAATGCAAGTCAATGGATGTGGATAAGACGTGATGATGTCAGCAGTCCTTAAACCACTAGAGCCCAGGGAAGAAGAAGCTTTGGGGACTGGTGTAGCAGCCTGGCGAAACCGAGGATCAGCTGAGTCTATCTGCTTTTTTTGATTTGGCACCAATGATATTTTCATAATCGGGGGAAGCGCAGTGGTCTGCCTGCTGAAAATTTATTTTGTCTACTGTCTTTTGAAGGACCATTTTGTCACTTGAACCTGTTGAAATGTTATTTTGGATAACAGATACCTCATATATAAAGGAATATTTGCATACTCGCCAATTCTTTGTTTTCAGGCAACTAGTTTATTTTGTAGAAGTTGTTTTCAGCAATGACAGCCTGCATGGAAGGTGCACTTTAATTAGCCAGCTGTGGGTCCCCTGAATATGGAAGCCATTCAGAACCGCCTTACAGCTCATTGGGCCCATAGGGATCCGTAAGAAATACAGACGTTTCCAGGGCACCTAGTATAGAGTCGAAGCTGATCTTTAAATTATGCCAACACAAGTTTTATTCCAACTGGGCATCTCTGTCTAGCTGGGATTTATAGTTCTATCACAACTACCCAGTAACAGCTTGTATAAGGCCGATATGTGGAGGCTCAGACTATGGGAAGAGTTCAGATCACACAGTGACATCGTGGTCAAGCTGTGCTTGCTCTTGTAGATCCATTCATTGTTCTTTATCTCCCGTGTCCCATACATTGAACTCTGTGTTGGTGTTGATGGAGTTAAGGACAGGACAAAAGGCATTTTGTAAGATGGGCTGTTTATTGCTTGTGCCTGGGGCCAAATTAATTTCCATGCAATCTGTAGGAGCATAAGAGCTCATTGTTGTGCAGATAGTGGCCTGCCTCTCACAGTGGTCATAATCCTTTTGAAGGCCTGATCTGTGTTTTGTTCCTGTCTCCTCTAGAATATATGAAACTAATCACAGACCTTGAGGAAGGTCTGTCTGTGCAGACAAAAATTTATCTTAAATAAACAATGCAAATGTATCTTGTGTTTGTGATTCCAGATGTCAATATTTGCAATAGATAAAAAAAAAAAAAAGTTTGCAATGGAAAACAATAAGGGCCCATCTATGGAAGTTAAAGTTGTTCATATTTGGAGTGTAGGATTACTGGGTCAGCAAAGTGACCAAAGCTGGGGATACATGTTTCTCTTTTTTGTGGGCTGAATGAAAAAAATTGAACAGATTTCTCCCTTAACGTTTACGGGAATTTGATGGATGGATCCCCCACTGTTGGAATCCCCCCGCTGTCAGAATACCCGAATGGAGTTAGCAGCTGACTGGCCCAGAATTTTCCAATCGGCTCCTTCGATCAGCTGATTGAGGGATGCCAGGCGGAAGGGTGCCAACAGTGGCACACACTGTGCGAATTTTGGCCAGTTCTTGAGGAACCAGACAAAATTTTTCCCGCGTTTTCTCTACTTGCTATAGGGCAGGAGTAGGCAAGCTTGGCACTCCTGCTGTTGTGGAACTACAAGTCCCATGAGATGTCCTCTGTCCCCCTGCTGCCCTGTGGGCCTCGTCCTCTGTCCCCCTGCTGCCCTGTGGGCCTCGTCCTCTGTCCCCCTGCTGCCCTGTGGGCCTTGTCCTCTGTCCCTCTATTAAATTTGCAATAAACTGTAAAATCAGATTGTACAATCTCTGTATGACTTCCTTCCCATCTACCAGACCTATATTTAAGGACAGACCGAAACAATCCATTCACTTTGTATCAAATCAGACAGGCCCTTGCATTATATAGTTGATGGTAGATATAAGGGCCCATTTATACCTAAGTGTAGCATTAATCGCAAGATGGATGCCATTCATTTTTTTTTTTACCGCACCGCATGGTATTGCGCTTCTACGTGTTGCAGCGCATGGCAGCCAGGAGGTGGGTTGGGCTGCCATTCAAACGAATGTCAACAAAACGCACCTAGCGCATGGTAACATATGCTAGGTGCGCTGTGCAGCAGTGTGCTTTAATCACACAGTGTAGTGCAATTAACGCAATGCCTAGGTTTGAGGGGGCCCTAAAGGAGATTGTGCAATCAGTTTGTATAGTGTATGGCCAGCTTTAGAAAGTCTGTCATTATTTAACTGCTCTGTGTCTCCACTAGGGAGATTTTAACTTACTTGTTATCTTGGACCCACCACCTGGACAGAACGTGAGGGAATCTTCCCAGTGGAAAACCTAACAGAGGTTCTAACTCTTTAAATCACTATCTGTTATTTGTATTGCCGTCTGTGTCCTCATTGAGAGACCCTCATTGAGAGACCTCACTCACTTCCCAGTCTGTCTGACACTCCTTCAGTAGACGGGGGATCTCCCCAACAATGACAGCAGCAAACACCTTTATAGAGGTGCACTCTATCCAACTAAACAATTTTGGTTAGATTGTGGTCTAATTCCGCTGCACATGACTGGAGGATTGAGATGAGCACGGTTATGTCGGGCCCAAAATCTTTCTTGGTAATATGTAATATCTGGAGACCTTTGTACAGCCTCCTCCCTCCAGGCCCTCTTACAATGTTTATTCTGTACTCTCTAAAAAGGAGAAACATCTTTTCAGAAGATGTTCGTAGCTTTACAGGAGATGTTACTGCTTGGGGCATCTTTCACAACCCCATGTGGTTTCCTCAGCTTTGTTATGCATTTTAATTCAATTTACTGCAGGTAACTTAAACACAAACACCAGTGGCGGAAAAGTTCGATAATCTCACCTTCCCTCGGCATCCGTAGTGCAGGGGGTGAAATTGTCATCCGGTCGGCAAGAATTGGCTGAGTATGTAAAACTCCACAAGGAGATGGTGCTGCTCATTGGAAGGTCATCTTCTCAGTGAGATTTGGGCTACTCAATATGCCTCCAGATCTTGCAAGTATTGTAGGAGGATGCCATTACTCTACATCTGGGTACATACAGGCCAAAAATTGGCAGAAATTGGCAGAAATTCGATCCATGGGTAGCACACTCTCCTCGACAAAAGTCGATCATAAGAATTTCATAGTATCATATTTTGTTGTTCAGTCTCGCAGGCTGCACACAAAAAAAGATATGTGCGTGTGTACCCAGCTTATAGTAGGAGACAAGGATCCCAGGAGATATGAGCAGTACCTTTTAATTTAGGATTATTTTTTTAGCCTGACAGGGTCACTTTAAACACAGGTCTTAAAGGTCAACTGATTGCAGAACTTTTTTTAGTTTTGGATATAGTGGAGATGGATCAGAACAGTGTTTCTTAACCTTTTTTGAGTCCCAACACAATTTTAGGCTCTGCAAAATCTTGTCGCATGCCAGTCTAAGGCCCCGTTCACCGTGTGTCGCGTTCATTTCAATGCTTGTCGCACTTGAGCTGTGAGCTTCACACAGTTTTCGACCACACGTTTGTGCATGTTTGACACGGGCAAAAACGCAAGTTTTAATGGCTGCATTTTGGGTGCCGTTAAAGGAGAACTATGGGGGTCAGTGTTTTTCCCCATAGTTCTCCTCAGGGTAACGGGAGGACACAAACTAGCGTCCTTCCCTTACCCTAAGCTCAGTATACCGCCAGCTACAGCTCACGGTATACTGAGACGCCGCAGCGGTATATAAGCCGACGTAGATGACGGGATCCGCCCAGCTGCGTGAGTGACAGCTGGCTCTGCCAATCTAGAGGCAGAGCCAGCTGTACCCGCCCCCTCCCCCGTCTGTTCCGCCAGTCAGCGCTGGCAGATCGGAGAGGGGAAACCAGCCCTCCCCCTGTCAAGGCAGAGAACCGTGACAGGATCGAGAGTGTTCGCTCACCTCCCAATCTACTGAGCCAACCTGTGACAGTCTCAATGTCACAGATCGGCTAGAACTATGAGGTGAGTGGAAATCACTCATCTCATAGGTAACCTTTAAGTAATGGCACCACAAGCACATTGCACAACTTTTTTTTTTCTTTTACAAGCTGCACCGTAACGTGTGAGAGCATCATAGCTCTCAGCAAAGTATGCTGTGCAGGCCGCATGCCAACCATATCATTGGTTGCCAGAGAGGGAGCCAGCTTCCTGCAGGGTACCCGACGGACTCCTAGCAACCAATGATATCTGTCTCTAAAGGTGCTGTCGGCAGTTAAAGTTTAAAACTATGGCCACCGACAGCATCTGTAGCAGTGGATGATGTCCTTGGTTGCTAAGATTCAGTCGGGTGCCTTGTGCCCGCTGGCTCTCTTGCTACAGTGGAAATGG